AAACGTGGCATGAATGGAATATGAGCCTCACATGCCGACTGTTAAAATTCAATCGGAATGATATAGAACTCTAGTAGGAGTACTAACAGGCCACTGTCTAATCGGCAGACATGCAGGTAGACTTGGAACGCCATATAACGACTATCGCAGAAGCTGTCAGGGAGAAGTAGAGGAGGATACCGTTAAACATCTTCTATGCGATTGCACTGGTCTCTATAGGAAAAGAATCGCAGCCATCGGTCAAGGGTTTCTCGATGACGTCTCGGAGGTTGCACGGATAAAAGTGGTCTTACTGATGAAGTTCATCAGAAGAACGGGTGATTCAGAGAGGAGCCAATAGAGTGAGGGGACCTTAGTCCCGCTGGTATCACAATGGGCCTCCTAAAGGCCTAGGTGTGTCGGAAGACAGCCACTCTATCTGCCTACCTACCTACCTTTATGTCGCAACAACGAAGCGACATTAAAGTTGACAGTAAAGGATTTGGAATATTTGATCACTAGGGCTTAGGGAATATGCAAAGAATTGTGTAGTGTCATACTAGTATATCTTTGTTAAGTATGTCGAAATGGTTAGAAACCCAGCTCAGCTCATGTTCATATTTGATTAAGCATTTCAAGCGTATAACTGACAAATGGACGTACAAGTTTTACGCCGCCACCGATGTAGATTTTATAAACTGCTTTCACTGACTAACTATTACTGATAATAATTATTAATAACAGGTGTCAGTCAGAACTTGGTATGAACTCAGTTCTTGCATAGTGGTAGTAAGTAGCTCCAGTCACTGAAACGCTTCAAGGTTAATACCTTCTATGGTACTTGAGAAAGCGTTTCGAAATCCAATAACATTCTGGACGATTTTTTTGTTCCGAATTAATTTATATTCTTAACCCTGATATCGAAAATAGTCATTGACAGATATGTTTAAGGTATTTTGTTTTCTAACTTTATGGATAGTATATAAAGTTAGGTTATTTTTGCTGATCGAATTTTTTTGTTCATCAGAAAAACTCTTATAGTAGCAATAATAGCATAGCTTTAATACTGATATCCTGAACAAGATATATTAAGTTTGCCACGTAGTTTATAACACCCGGAACGAAACGTGGGAATATGATATCTTCTACAGCGTCCATACATACGTACATATATATATGATCAGCGTCTGTAAATTTTTGAAATATTGATCTGAAATTACACACACGCCTTTTTCTCCCCAAGGAGCTGCTTATTTGTCGGAACTGCCGATAACGGACCACTATAGCATATAGCTGCCATAGTAAACTGACCGAACAAAATCAAGTCCCTGTATAAAAACATTTTTCATTCGCCAAGATATCTTCAAAAAATTTGGTATACTTGTAGATTATTATCCAAGGCAACGCTATAATTTCCGAATAAATTATTGAGATCGGACTACTATAGCTAATAGCTGTCATACAAACTGATTGATCAAAATTAAGATACAAATCTTTTTATACTCCTGAAGTTAATGGTTTTTCTAGTTTCTGCCAGAAATACACTTGAGGCTTGATAATACCCCCAATTTTTAGCTGTTTTTCAGTTGTACTGCGAACGAAATTCGAACCCGCAACTCTACTAGCGGCTTTTATGTATTCGAAACCTTTATGTGTAATTACGGCAAGCTTTCAGCGCAATTATACAACTTGTAGAACAACAACAAGTAGCTCGGAACAAGTAAGCATTTTTGTTTTATTGAATTTCATGAATTATTCCAATAGTCTTTCACTACAGTATGTAAGCGTGTAAGCGTAGGTAGGTAGGTACCATAGGTAGAGAAGCGTGTAAGCGTACGCAAATATATTTTCCTCATTTATAATATCAGCCACTGACCAATAGTCAGTATAGCGTTGCTAGTAAGCAACTAAATAGTGACCTTTCGCCATCAGAAACCATTGACTTGCACTAGCAGCACTGATGAATAGCACAAACAACAACACACACTCATATAACACAAGTAAATAAATTAAGTGCTCCACAAGCCATCAGCTTTTTTCGTTTTTCCCTGCATTTACTCGTTAATTTCCCGACGCTTCTCCCGCCGCGCTAGTTTTGTATGCCATTTTTCTGCATGATTATATGTACTTATATAGTTTAGGTGGCTATGTTGTGTGCGTATGTATATAGTACATACATACATATAGTTGGTGTGCATATGTATGTATATGTGTATTGTAGTAACTGTAACTGTGGTGGTTGTGTAGATATTTGCATTTAATGAAATCGCGTTTAATTAGGCTTATTGCCGCAAACACTGCCACGTGCTGCCGACAATGTGCATGAACTTGAACACCAATGCAGTCAATATCAACAATTACAACAACAACAACAAGCCGAACAACAATACCAACAATTTCGTTTCCGTTATCAATACCCACATCAATACAACAACGTCAGCATGTCTGGCCCCATCGCCACCAGCATCGATATTGTTGACATAATCGCCGATGGCATTGCGTACGGTACTGCGGCCGATATTGCCACCGGTGCGATTGGTGGTAAGTAGGTGTAGTATCCACAACAGCTCCCCAAGTCCAAAATTTCTATGTGTCTTGTTGTAATAAATAATTTGTAATTACATATGTGCGTGTATATACATATGTAGCTGTGAATGTGCGCGTGTGTTTGTGTGCGTGTGCGGGCACTTTGTTTACACCTTTTGCACAATATCTCTATAGGCATGCTTTAATTGATTCTCTTCCTTTAAATAAATGCATAATTAAGCACTTAAGAAGCGATAATACGTAGAAGTAGCCTCTGAAACGTTTTCATTTGAATAAAGAAAAAATATTATAAAATATTCCAAATTAATTATTCCATATTTTACATTATCGATTTGATGTGTTCATCGCAAAAGTTTTGTGGCGATTCATATAGTTGACTGGCACTTTTGAAAAAGGGTTCTCTTAAATGTTGTTTTCTTCCTTCAAAACTCGGCATACTACATAAAAACACGTACATACATATATACATACATGCTTACATACATAGATATATATTGTACATACCATATACACATTTCTAATAACCATTTACTTTTGAACAGCACGCCATTAAAAGCCTCTCAAAATTAATTGTCTCAATTACCTTTTACCATTTACAAATAATAATAATGTTACATTCTTCGCCGCGCTCGTGGTCTTAAAAACTATTTTGTTTACATATTTATTTTATTTATGACAACCCCGCCCACTCCCCATATAATCAAGCCAGACATTAAAATTTATCTATGGGATGGTATGAGATGAATTTATAGGAATCGCGTTAAAAATTAGACAGTGGGCGTGACACCGCCCACTTTTAGGCGAAACCTTATACCTTGGGATCTGCTTAACCGATTCCAACATAACATTCTTCGCATATTTCTATGTTATAGTGCGAAAATGGGTAAAATCGGATGACAACCCCGCATACATCCCGTATAACAAACTTCTAAATTTAATCTGATTCTTTGATTTTACAGTATACAAATCAAATATCAATAGAGTTATCAAAATAAAACTTTACACAAATAATGCTCTCAAGGTTTTTCATCCCAAAAATTGTCGAAGTCGGCCTATATCATTTGCATTTGGCTGACTGTTTACCTAAAATATCTGTCAATCTGGGAAGTCTAGTATTGAAATTCCGGGAGAATATCTTTATGATGACAGCATGCCTTTGTGCAAAGAATGAGTAAATTCGGGTCAATACTTCCCATAGTTCACATATACCTAATATAAATATTTTCCAACTTCCGGTTAACTTGTTACCGCATATATCAGTCGAGTCGAGTGCGCAAGAAATCGATATATGAACAACCCCGGGTCCATGTACTGCATATAATGTTTTTCATTAGTTCGGAATGGAATTGGATTTTCCATCCTTTAGTTGATGTGTTCTTCATATTCCCCATATATTTTATTTAACTTTGATTGAATTCGTATAACATATATATCTCATTTGAGTTGGTTAGGTTGAATTGTTTCGCAACAATTTTTGATACAAAGTTTTGCAACACTAGAAAGTATTTCCCCGGCTTTGATGCTTGCAAATTGCAAGAATATAAAATGTTTGGTTACACCCGAACTTAGCCCTTCTTTACTAGTTGTTATTTTTTATTTTTATTTAAATTAAAATTTTTTTTTTGTATTTTTAATGTTTATTTTTATTATTTTTTTTTAATATTTATTTTTTATTATTCAATTATATTTTCATTCATTCATTATGCTTTTGCTTTAATTGTTGTGTTTGTCAGCTAATTTAAAATTTTCCGCACTTATTCACTTATTTAGTAATTTCTAAATTAATTAAAAAACATATGTAACTCCTCTTTATTCATTCAGCAACAACCGCTCCACTCGCTGTGGATGTGCCTGAGACCTCTTATTCCAGCAGCGAAGACGAGGAAGATTTCTATGATGCAAATGATGATCCATTTACTAGTATGGGAAATTCGCCGAGCTAGTAAGTACAAAAAACTTAAAATATTAGTTAACGATAAGTAATTTGGATTTTTAGGGTAGTACACTTTTATGAAAATATATAAATATAGGTTTGAAGAAAAACAATTATTTCGCCTAAATGTACCGTTACCTTCCTATCTTTCAAACCTACGAGTACAGACATTACTAGAATTCTGAATGCAAACTAATCAAGTCGTTAGTGCCCTTCTTAGATTATACACAATAAAAATTATGACCATAGCTCATATGGTTGACAGATAGGACCCAGCGAAGAGATAAACTGACATTGCTATTCACAATTGAGACATTGAGCTTATCAATTTATACGTTAACCCGACTACTACGAATTGCTCACCGATTTATATCCGATTTAGGTTGCTTTGTTGTTATTATTGTATTTTAATTGCGTCAGAAAAAAATTTTCCAAATAGGTTTGAGGAACTGCTTCTGATTGACGTGGAATTAGAGCTGTAGCAATCTTCTCTTAACCTCTTTGGCAAATGTTTACTATTATTAACTGCTGAACCTCAAAATATCAAACAGCTTCATATGTTTGTCAGGAATTATGTCCATGAATGTCCATCTCTGTCGTCTTAAAACCACTCATCTTGGCTTTTCTCTTTTATATTTCGGTACAAAGATTTCCTTTTACTTTTATTGTGGAATTATTTAAATTTAGTGCTTAAGGGAAAAATTGTTGCATACGGGAAGTCGCTAATCAAAACCAATAATACAAAATTATATAATTTCATATAATAAGTGTCAAAATTTCATTATTATAACCTGAGCAGGGTATACTAAGTTTGCCACGAAATTTGTAAATGTCGGAGACCTTAAACATGGCGAACTCAGTCGATTTAGCCACAGCCTGTCTATGCGAACTAGTCCCTTTGTTTTTGAGATACCAATCTGACATTTTGCACACGTACCTTTCTTTCCAAGAAGCTGCTTCTTTGTTGAAACCACCGATGTCGAAGCAGTATAGAAGCTTCCATATAAACTGAACTACCAA